CACTCCTTGGGGGGAAGTGGAGGTCAGCGAATCCTTGCATGATATGTGAATGAATGACAGATCCTGTGCAGGTACACAGAGATGCCAAACTTCAGTCACCTTTGTACACAGAGAGTGACAGACTATATAGTAGCCTATGACAGGTCCTGTGCAGGTGTGCTGGGATGTCTTCCTGCAACAGATGCACATGTGTGGAGAGATGTCCCTGCACACATGCGCATGCATTTGAGAACCAAAAAAATTAAAGCAACCACCTCTGGCCCATGTGGTTGTTCCATCTTCTTTTGCGGCATCCTTGGGGCTGGTGGTGTGGTTGCTGGGGCTTCAACCCCCCCCCAGAAAAGCTGCATTGACTCCCCCCAGTGCGGTTGCTCCATCCCCATTTAGGTCAACCTCAGGGCAGGCAGTGCAGTTGCTGCAGCTTAAGGAAGAGGCAACTTCAGGTCACCTTTTCCTGCCCATCTGCATAGCCCCATTATCATTCTGAATAGCTAAGTTCCTTTGAGCTTTCTTTACAGGACAGAATCAGTAACAGTGCATCATTTGAGTACTACTGTCAATCAAAAAGTCTTCTTAATAAATTGTGCACACTCTATAAGATCGGTAATATGTTAATTAATTATTCTATAATAAAGTCCTGCAATAAGAACAATGAATAATAGTTATGAATGAGTAAGAATCCTGTATCATAATGATGGAGGGAGCTAGAGAACCTGCATGAAGACCATTATTCATATATTGTAGCTCTGATATTTAAAGCTTCAAGGCATCCTATTTTTTCTTGATGTAGACAATATCAAATTGTTTAGACTACAGAACTCTCCATCTGGCAAATGCTAAAAAAAAATATGGTGGGGGAATACTAGATGTAATACCTACATATCCCTCTTGGGACTGAGTTTAGTTGAAGACCCCTGTAGTTTAAAACATCTAGCCATTAAAACAAAGTAAAGCAAAGCAAAACAAAAACCTCCATGTTGCTTTACCAGGGTTTGATTTTTGAAAAATAATGCCAATTTTTGTATTTTTAAAAATAATTATTAAAAATAATTCTAAAGTAATGGCAGCCAGCATGGTGTAGTGTGTTCATGTCCTGGACTAGGACTCCAGCAAACCAGGGTTCAAATCCCTGCTTAGCCATTGAAGCCTACTGGAAGACATTGGCCAAGTCACACTGCCTCAGCCTTATGGGAAGCCAATGGCAAACCTCCACTGGATAAGTAGCCCCCCTCCCCCGACTTCCCTGGGGGGAATTTGCTGACTGTAGCACTGGTAGCTGCCTCAAAGGTTTTTTATCAGGTTGTCTTCTTCCCAGGCTTCCCTGGGATTTTTACAGGGTTGCAAAGAAGCAGCCAATCAATGTCACTGAAGTGGAGAGTTTCACTCTAGTACACCAGGAAGATATGAATTTAGAGAGCCTCTGCTCTGCAAGGCAATCAAGCTTTATAACTGCCTTCCTACCCTTCCTCCCTTTGCTATTAGTTTGAATTAATTGTTCATGTCACTGTTAATGGTTCTTGTTACTCATTTTCAGTTATTTGCAATACTCTGTCACAACTCTGGCCAGTGTGGCATGAGGCAAAATCCAGTAGAAGTGGGAAAACTGGAGTTTGAATCCACCAGTCTCATAGGGTCACCACTATGGGCAATAGCGGTATATAGAGTAATACTGAGCTCTGGTGAAGGACCTTCCTCACCCCCGAAGGGCAGAGCACCACACAGTGGTGGTACACCAGAGTGGTTTCCCAGCGGCCATCTCCATGGAGTTTCCTACTTTAGGTTTGGAGACTCGGGTTTCCAAATACACTGGGTCATTTGATTGCTAGATCAGAACACTAAAGCTATGTCTATGCCAAGGCATCTTGCATAGCTGTGATTACACTGGAATTGTGACAAATTTTCTTCCAAATCTCTATGGGGGGTTGCAGACTGCCAGAAATAGTGCAAATTGAGTCCACTTTTAGGGTTAGGTTTAGTGCTAGGGAATCATGGGAATTGGTTTTTTTTCCTCAGACATTGAGCCTTCCCTGTCAGAGAGCTCTGGTGCCACAAGAAACTACAGTTCCCATGATTCCCTAACCCTAACCCTAAAAGTGGACTCAATTTGCACTATTTCTGGCAATCTGCAACCTCCCTATGTGTGTGTTTTGTGGTGGTGTTGGCTCTCCCAGCACAGCAGCTCTTAGCTACTAGCCCAGCCAATCCTGCTAAGAAAATCCTACTTTAGGGTCGCCATAAGTGGGAGTCAACTTGAAGGCACACATCGACCAAAAAAAAGTGTTAATAATGTGTGACCAATGAATCATATAACAGTCCTTTTTGACAGTAAGTGTGTTGTTGTGTACTTTCAAGTTATTTCTGATTTATGGCAATTCTGAGGAGGAACTATCATGGGGTTTTCTTTGTTCATAGGAGGTTTGCCTTTGACCTCCTCTGAGGCTGAAAGAGTGTCACTTGTCTAAGATCACCTAGTCAGTTTCCATGGCTGAGTGGGGATTAGTACCCTGATCTCCAGAGTCATAGTCCAACGCTCAAATCACTACATCACACTGGCTCTCAAATGATGGTAAGCAGCATGTCATAAATTACCCTTTTTACAGAGTAGTGTTAGCTTCTTAAGTATCATTTCCAAAGTCTGAACTAAACAAAAGAAAGGAATGGGGACATCAGCAAACAACCAAACTGTGGAGCCATTTGCTCATGTGGGTAATGAACCTTTGTTTAAACCCAACATAGGAAGGGTTATAGCATTTGTCGTTTACATGTTTTAAATGGTCAGATCTTGATGTTAACCCAATATAACACTTATTTTACTGAATAATCTATGAAAGTAAATTGCCTTACCATTGCCTTACCATTTTTTATTTTAAAAAACAAACCTAAAAACAAGAACTGCATGAAACAGCAAGATCTTTTCCATGACATAATCCTGAGACAACCATTTTTAGAACAGATGCACTTAGAGGCATTTGGTTTTGGTCATGCTGTAGATAGAAATATATCATTCATACATAACACTACATATTAAAAGTGCCACTTACCGGAAACCCAGGAAAACCTCTTGTTCCAGGCTGTCCCTGAATAGAACGAAGCGGAAAAAGAGATTAGAAGAAACAGATGAGGCAGCAAGACATGCGACTAAATCATTGCATCCTGCCTTACAACTGCCCACTATCCATAATTTGCAAGATGAAAATAGTACACTAGTTTTACATGACCAGAGCAATTTCTTCCTGACTATACAGAACAAACAACCCAAGATACTGTCACTTCTATGTTGTCTGCTAATTAGCACAAGTGTAAATTTCTCCATCACCCCCAGAACGTGCATATTTTTATGCCTGGGCACAACAAATTGTTTATTTTAGTCATTAGTTCCCAGTATAAATTCTTCAAATTTACACCCTCCCTGTACAGAGGCTCTTTCCTATATGGTTGCTTTCCCTCTGCAATTGCTGCCACATTGTTCTGGGTACCCAGAAATGTTTCTATGACGTGGTTCAGCTTTAGGATATATTTATAAGACACACAAATAACAGATTTCCTAAATCCTGACCATCACTTTTGTAGTTTGTAAACACATTGTGAAACCAAATCATGTTGGCAAAAGCCTTCTTTGTTTAGCCTGATCATATGTACTAATTTAAATGGACAGTACTGTTTTTTCATATTTCCAGACCATTCCATCATTTTAATATAAATGCCAATTTGCTCCTGTTTTCAAGAAAAAATGCCTTGTTATGTTACAAAAATAGTTTGAAGATCCCTATTGTGGTCGTAAAAAAAAATGGGTCATAGAGTGTGAGAAGTTTTATGATAAAATGTTGAGAGACTGAAATTGCTGCATAAGATTACTTCATTGGAAAAACATTCATGGTATGATTGTGGTGAAATACAGTCCCCTTCAATGTCTACCTAGATTTTTGTATGAGTTCTGTCACTAAAGAATAATTTCTAGCTCAATATGTTCATGTAATACAACTTTTGTTATTGTCTTTTTTTTCATGAATATGGAATATTACATAATCTCATCCTGTTTTTGCCATCCTAATGTCCCATTCTTGTCTCAAGGAAATATCAGCCAGCCTATCTTTGGTCAGGGTGGGAGCAGCCAAATAAGTTACACTATCAGTATGAGAAAATGCACGTGTAAATAGCATCTTAGAACTCTACTCAATTATACCATTGCATTACTGCAAAGACTGTTTTGCTATTGGTTGTGCATTATTGGAGTCAGTGCTATGGTATTATCCAATAGATTTTTGATCATGCAAGTGCTTATGTAAAGTAGTTGCATAGCTGGATACATAACCTCTTGCTCAATTGGCTGTGCATACTCTCCAGCATTTCATAGATAAAAACAAGGAAACATATTGCCAAGCAACTTGAGAAAGTGGTCAAGATGGCAAAGAAACAAGCTAGAGGAGGCTTCAGCAGTTTGCTTTTACCTGAGTCTACTGGGAAGGGCAAGATTCCTCCTCTCCTTCCTGCTCAGTCAATTGAGTACAAATTATTTTTGAACTCTGAGCTCATTTTACAACTGAAAGAAGCTGATAACAAATCTCTAATCTGCACTGCAGAAGTAATGCAGTTTTACACCGCCTTAACTGACATGGCTCAGTGCTATGAAATTCTGGGATTTGTCATTTGTTGTGCAACCAGAATTCTCTGACAGACAAAGCTAAATATCTCACAAAACTACAGATCCCAGAATTCCATTGCATTGAGCCATTGCAGTGAAAGCAAACGGCATTATTTCTGCTGCTGATTTTCTCTTCTCCTAATTCAGTAACTGAAACAAGCAGAAATACTGACTACATAAAGGCGATGGCGTACAGCAGGGGGGGGGGCGCTTTGGTCCTCCAGATGTTTTCAGCTTAAAAGCCAAGAAGTCCCAGACAGTATGACTACTACTAAGAGGTTTTGTGAATTGTAATACAAAACATCTAGAGAGCCAATGATTCATCATCCCATCATATAGCAAAACACTAGTGTGAACTCTTCATCATGATTTTTCAGATTCCAACAGACCATTGCAAACTGCCAGATACAGCATTTCTGTCTTACATATCTAGTCTAGACATATAGTGGTAACATTCACCCAACAGTTTAATTTACTGAGCTGCCAATATTAAGACTATCAGTTTTTACTTATTTATTTATTTTAAAAAATAACTCCAGGTGAAGCCAGTGTATCTAACAGCTAAACCTGAAAATGGGCAGAACCTGGGAAAACATGGTCACAGTTGCCAGGATATAAATGAAGCCAAGAGCAACACATTTTAGTATGGCCACAGCTAAATGCTAGGGATTTTCATAATCAAATACAGACCACATACACAACACACTTTTAACACTTTAGACAAGTAAGGCCCCATTTACACTATGGAAATAACCTGGTGTGAAAATGGTTATTTCTGTGACATACCCGCTAGCCCCAAATGCACCTGGCACCATTTGCAGGGGCGGGCATGGAAAAACCCACTTAACCCAGTGTATTTTACACCAGGTCCTTAAGTGCATCTTTTTTAAAGAGCTGCAACAATCTACATCTTCAGTAGTGTGAGCAAGCTGTCAAATTGATTGGGATGAGCTGCATTGTTTCCAGAAATAGAGGCACCTCCATTATAAACTAAAATGGTGGCAAGCGTGAATGGCCACAGGGTTAAAATACCATGGAGAGATTCGGAAATGGAAAACATAGTGGGAACACCAATCCAGTATTTCATCACTGCAGAGATCTGGATCTCCTCGGGACAAAAACGTAATTGTGAATGCCACCTAAGAGAGCTAAAGAGTTCAAATGTGGAACTGGCTACAGCCCCAAACTTGAGCAATTTAAAGTAGGGTATCAGGCATATATGACATAGAATATCTGGGGAAAGTTTCAGTAGGATAGGTTAAAAAAGTGCCATACTTTCTTCACATACCTGTTAAGCCACTCCAAAACATTGCCATGGGGGTTCCATTGCAGACTGGCTGGAGACTTGGATACAAGGACTCTGAGCCTTTGCAGACTGCCAGAAATAGTGCAAATTGAGTCCACTTTAAGGGTTAGGGCTAGTGCTAGGGAATCATGGGAATTGTTTTTCCCCCCTGAAACATTGAGCTCTGGTTCCACAATAAAATACAGTTCCCAT